CACTACTTCCCTCGGTGTCATTGTTTTCCGATCGGTCATTCCTCTGAACCACCGCCCTTAATTGCTGTAGATGTCGTGAGACACTAAAATCAGAGATCGGGGATCGCGCTGAGACATTGTTTAATTTTTATTTTTTTGAGATGATCGGCGGCACAATCACTTGTAGAAACTGTAAAGAGAAGATAATAATAAAAATAAAAGTATCTCCTAGTCCCTTCATTTCCCCCCCTCCCCCCACCCCTCTCTCCCCATAAATGTGTCTGGCTTTGGAATAGGTTTATTTATATTGTATATCCTCGTTTCTCGACTGTAGACGATGATGATGCTAATTTATTGTTCCTCCGTTTCCCCTCTGTATACGCTGGAGCCCAGACGGGGAGAAACCAGATACATACGTGTGTACTGTCGCATGTCGTCAAGTTGGAGGCACGGGCCTCCGGGGCGGAGAAGGGTCGTGACGGACTGAGAACCATTCACTTGATTAAATGTCTGTAAATCTCCACCGGGATTTCTGTGGTTTCTTTCGTGGCCTGGACCTCCCCTGCGTTTGCGAGCGGACGGAACAGGGTGGGGTCCTGGCCTGCCCGCACTCTCCCGCCGTGGTGAGCCGCAGACCAGAGACGCGTGTGGCGGTGTGCGTGGACGCGAGGGGGTTATCTTATTACTAGAGGCCCGATGCACGAAGATTCGTGCAGGAACGGGTCTTCCTTCCTCTGGCTGCCGGCACCGCCTTGGCTCCTGCGAGAGCTGCCTTTCCGCCTTCCCACGCTGCCCAGAGGCCCAGAGTGGCTGGGGCAGTGCGGAACGACTGCGTCGTCACCATGGCAACAACACAAGCGTCCCACCCCGCCCCTGGCCGCTCAGTGCCTGCATATGCAAATTAACCTGCCATCTTTGTTGGGTTAATTTGCATACTTGCTCCTGATTGGCTGGTGGGCATCGCGAAGGTATGGTCAATTTGCATCTTTCTCTTTTATTAGTGTAGATTGATGTGAGTCTTCTCGCATGCTCGTCCACATGAGGGGTGCTCGGTGGCTAAGCTGCGTGTCCACGGCTCCGAGCGGGGTCTCGGCCACCTGTGTTCCCTTCCTGGCTCAGGGGGGAGCTGGCCCGAGCCCCCATCCAGAGCGTGAGCTAGGCCAGCAGCAGCACGGCTCTCGGGTCAAAGCCAAGCTCAGTGGACAGAGCGTCGGCCTGCGCCCTGAAGGGTCCCGGGTTCGATTCCCAGTCAAGGGCACAGGCCCAGGTCACGGGTTTGATCCCCAGTAGAGGGTGTGCAGGAGGCAGCCGATCCATGATTCTCTCTCATCATTGGTGTTTCTCTCTCTCTCCCTCCCTCTCCCTTCCTCCCTGAAATCGATTTAAAAAAATTAAAAGCCAAGTCGGCTAGAAGCCCCGTGCAGAGGCGTGGTGTCCACGTGAATGAGAGGGTTCCGTCCCAGAACCAGGAGACCAACGGGAGATTAGGGGGGGAAGGGGGGGTAGTTATTTGGAGGGTCTTGAACATTGAAAAATAATACATGGGTTTTTTTTCCTTAAAGTATGTTTTTATTGATGTCAGAGAGGAAGGGAGAGCGAGAGAGAGACAGAAACATCAAGATGAGGGAGAATCATGGACCGGCCGCCTCCTGCACGCCCCACACTGGGGATCGAGCCCGCAACCCGGGACTGTGCCCTGAGCGGGAATCAAACCCCGACCTCCTGGTTCCTAGGTCGACGCTCAACCACTGAGCCACACCGGCCGGGCCATTGTTAAAATCCTGGTGGAGAGGGAGTTCCTGGAAGCCCGGCCGGCAGCCAGCGAGGTCCCTGTGCGGAGGGGGCCTGCCCGCTGTCGCCTGGAACAACACACACCCGGTCGCTAAGCCTGTCAGCGCGCGGCCGCCAGACGGGACCCAGCTCAGCTCAGGGGCCTGATCGTTACATCGGCTCCTCGCAGCCACGGCACCGAGGTCTGTCCCTTTAACTGAGTTTGACGTTCGCTCCGAAGCCGTCACTGACGTGTGTTTGTGTGAGAACCCGGGGAGAGGGCCCCCCACCCCGGCCGACACGGGTCACCGGGCTGTGCGGCCGAGTGGGCCCGGCACTCCCCTGGAATAACAAAGGCCAGTGCTCCCCAGCGTCCGGCAGGAGCTGCACAGCCCGGCCCCTCGAAATAAACGCCCCGGCCCTTCTCCCCCGTGGGCACCGGCTCTATGCTGAGTGGAGGGTCCGTCACGCAGGGGCTGGTATCGGGCTGTGAGGAGGGGTTTGTGTGCAGACAGGCTGAGAACCAATAGGAAACGTCGCCTGTTTGCTTCTTTATTTAATCTGATTTCAGTGATTCCAGAGAGGAAGGGAGAGGGAGATGGGAACATCAAGGATGAGAGAGAATCATCAATCAGCTGCCTCCTGCACGCCCCACACTGGGGATGGAGCCCGCAACCCGGGCCTGTGCCCTGACGGGGAATCGAACCCTGACCTCCTGGTTCATAGGTCGACGCTCAACCCCTGAGCCACGCCAGCCGGGCCGGCATTAGCCAGTTTAGATGGTGGCCTAGCGGTCCTCTCCTAACGTTTAAAATTAATCGCCTATAATAATAACACGTTTCCAAAACAGAAAATGAATACATAAATAGATGGGGGTGCTGCTTACAGAGGCCTAGAAGGCTGGACAGGGGCCCCTCGAGGGGGAGACGATCAGGGAAGGGAGACCCCAGAAAACAAGGCCCCGGGGGCAGCAGCTCCAAACAGGGAAGGAGTTTTTTAAAAGGGGGAGAAGGGGGACCGGTGAGAAGGGGGGGCGCTTTTACACAGAAACAGAAAAGGTCTGTAAGACCAGGTCACACCAGAAGGGCACTCCCCCCCCCCAATACGAAGGCAGCACCGGACTCCCTCATTCTGTGCAAAGCTGTGGCCAAATAAGGCCTGGGTGTTGGCGGGGGGTAGCGGGGGTTTATCTGTGCGCACAGGGGCTTCAGCTCCCGAAGGACGCATCCTCGGAGCTTCCTGCCTTTCTCTTGCAGCGCGGGGACCGCTCCGATGGTGGGGGGGGCGGAATCAGGGGCTTTCCACCAGCGCTGATTTACGGCCCGGGGATGCCCGCGTCCTGTTTTCCCAGCG